TGACATTCTTAAATAGAAAATATTGAAAGTTGACATCTTTATTTAGAAATTAACAAATTAATATCCTTAAATAAAAAAATTATAAAGTTGATATCTTTTTTTACACCTTTGCTGATACAAGATCCCTATAATAAAACATGTATTTTAAATATTTGCAATTAAGTACAAAATGTGACTAATTCAATGGCAAAATACCCAAATCCACCCCTCAACTATAGGGTCAGGAACGGATCCACCCCCAAACAAAAAACGGGGACAAATACACCCACAAAGTTTTCGACTTGGACAAATAACCCATTATTTGACGGGCCACGTCAGCTGCCGTCATCTTCCCATTAATGGCGTGCTTACTCAGATATTTTAAACACGGTGGAGGTTTTTTTGCCTGCGTGGATGCTGAACTGGCCCATTCCTGCCCATTTTAATCATACGTGGTGATTTTTCTCTCCTTTCCATTACACGTCAACTGGGCCCCACCTATAAAATTCCATAAAACCCTTAAACGGCTAAAACCTAACTTATTTCTATGTCTTCCCTTTTCCTTCCCTCTTCTCTTGAAATCTAAAATCGTGGGGGGTTAGGGTTTCTCTTTATCCTCTAAATCTAGGTTAGGAAAAGCTAATTCTATGGCATCTTCCTCTAATTCTCGATCATCAGGACTTGAAGCTTCTTCTGGGGTAAGGGATTTTGGGTTGATTGAGCACACATACGAAGGGCGTCAGATGTTCTGCGAGTGTGGATTAAAGGCACTGAGGTGGACTTCATGGAGACCATGGAGCATTGGTAGACGCTTTTATGGGTGCCCAAACTTCTTGAATGCTGTACGCATAATTTATTCGTTATGGGTATGTAATTTTGTTTTATTTTGTAATAAATATTTACACTTGGAAATATTTTTCATGTAGGATTTGAGGTGTGCATACTTTGTTTGGCATGACTTTGAACTAACAATTGAGAGAGCTACTGAGCTTTTAAAATTGTTGATTAACGAGAAAAAGTGTATGAGTAACGAAATTGCAGCTTTGAAAAGGCAATTAAAACAAAGAAAGTTGGGTGGAACTGTACCTGTGTTAGATGAGTCACCTGTATTGGTTGAGTCAAGCCATGCCACATCAAGTGCTAACCTGCAAGAATATGGCCAAAGAAATGGAGTTGAATTGGAAGAAATTATACAAAATGCCGTGTCAAGAGCTGTTGATGATGTGAAGAGAAAGATGGATACCTCAGTTTCAGCCTCTGTCCATTCTGAAATTAGGAAATTAATCTGTACTTCTGTACTAGCTTTGGGGGTTGGGTTTGTATTGGTTATGTTCATTTGGTTCTTATTTTGAGATCCTTGCTGTAAGGTGTATGGGGTGTCATATTTTGTTTGTTTGTTGGGGGCATGGCATATTCTGCTTAGTTGTAAGAACATTTTGGTCATGTCCTTTATGGCATTAATCAAATGTAATTGACTTTTTTTGCAATTGACAATAGCTAAATCACAATCATGATGTTACCCTAAAACATGCAACTACACAAGCAAATTTGATTGAATATAATGCCATTGAAATAAAGCAAGACAAGACATAATAAAGCAAGGCATTATAACCACATGTACATCCCCAAAACAAGGCATAATAACCAACTGTCAAATGTGATTACAAACCACCGACATATACATACAAAAGTTCAAAGTACATCCCCAAAACAAGAAAATATAAAATGACATTGAGTCATGCTTTCTCTTTTCCCTTTACAGATGATTGCTTTGTCTTCTTTCTTGAGTCATTTTTGCCTTCATTGATGACCACTCCTCCAACCTACATAATATACACACTAGTCATTAAACATTTGAAATTTAATATGTGACATAAATATTCAAGCATAATAATTCTGAAAAAAACTTACACAATCAATCTTTCTTTTGGCCCTCGTTTCCCTTTTAAGTGGTTCCTTGCCTTTAGCATCATTCACCCATTTTTTGGCAATTTTTTCAGTTTGTTCTTGCACCTTCTTCCCTTTTCCTTTTCTTGTAGTCACCTTGGGTTTTTGGTTGGCCTTTTTCTTTTGATGCTTTTTATCAACATGAAATTGCAACATTGAAATTAAAGCCAACAAAAAAGATAAAAATTTACATGAGGTAGTGTAAACTTACATTGCTTTGACTGGTCCCTACTAACTCCTCCTTTCTGGGACATCCAGCTTTATTGTGTCCCTGTTGACGGCACAAGCTACAACTCATCACAGACCCATGCTTGGACAACCTGGTGAATTTCCCCACCTTAACTTTCTTAGGCTCATGCTTATCTTTTCTTCTATTCCTCCTTGGTCGTCCTGCTGGTGTTCTCAACACTGGTGGTAAACAACCTCCTTCTGGTATCCTCTTCAAGACCTCATTGCCTCTAAGGCACTCCAATGCAGTCCCATAAGCTTGCAGGTACTTTTCCCTCTTATAGTGCTCATGAACAAAATCTTCATAATTCCAATTCATGTACCTAACAACTGCCAAGACATGAGGGCAGGGGATTCCAGTTAAATTCCATTCTCTGCATGAACAATTTTTTGCTATGAAATCAATGACATGTGTCACATCAGCAGTAGTATCACACACAGCAAATGAAGGGTCCCCATTCCACTTAACATAGCACTGCATTAACCTCACGGTATTTTCCTTTATCTTTTTCATGACTCTAGGTGCAATATCATTCGGCCATGTCTCTGCAAACAATCTTTTTTCCCTGAATCTCTCCATCAACTGGTCAATTAAAGCTCTAATCATAGAAATGATTGCCTTACACCTAGCAGCCAAAATCCATGAATTGAATGTTTCACACATGTTGTTATCAACAACATCACACTTACAGTCTTCATCGAAGAATGCCTTGCACCAAAACCTTCCTGGCAGATCCATCATCTCAGCATAAGCTTCCTCGGATACTCCCCTCAACTCTTCCATTTTCTCCAGAAATTCAATTTGGTATGATGCCCTTGCAGCTATCCAAAAGGCCAGTTTGATATCATCCCCTCTGTGCCTCTTTGCAAGGTTGCAGTATAGGTGTCTCGCACAATATCCATGATTTATAAGTGGCAAAACCTCTGCCTTTGCACAGATAATTCCCTACAAGATTAATTTAATAAATCAAGTTATTTAACAACATAACAAGTAAAATATCAAGAATA